CCATGCACTGAGCATTAACGCTGACAGGGATTCCTGTTCATCAACTGGGAACAGGATCCTCCCTCTGCAGTCCTGATCGATCTGGGTTGGGATTGGGTTATTATTTTTTTTCCTCTCCCATCATCTACACAAAAATATTTGTTGGCTGCTCAGTAGCTAAAAAATCCCTGTTCTTTCAGAAAAGAACAAGAGAAAGAAAGAAACCCATTAGGTCATTCTCTTAGCATTTATGGGGCTGGGGAGGGGGCCAGCTCACATGAATTCATCAACATTGTTTTACTCCATGGGAAGGGAACTTCTGTCAATCCATCCACCCACCCCTCCTGACTCCTCCACCCGTGAAGTTCCTCATTTGTTGCCTTCAATTAAAAAAAAAACAAACCGTAAAAAATAAAAAGAAACCCATCTCAAAGCTGTGTTGCTTTAGTGCAGCTCTGTGACATAGAGCCAGACAAGTAGCTCCCAGATTAGGCTGAAGCCAGTTGCTAAGTAGCCAGTGCAACACAGTGGTTTTGCTCAAAATGCTGATGAAGTTTGGCTGAAAATATCAGGGTACACCCAGCTGTCAACAGGAGAGCTAGCAACATCACGCAGGGCGGCGGGTGTTTTGGAAGCGAAAGCTGAACTTATGAGCATGTTCACGAGAGGATGCTTCTTTCTAAACACGGGCAGGTCATTGCCCTTTTGAAGCACTTTTGCAGAGCAGGGAGGGTATGGCAGACAGGCTGAGCAGTGTAGGGGATGGAGGACATGGTTGGGCACTGGAAGGGTCCATGTGGAGCCAAGAGGACCACGTGCTGTTCAGCCTCTCTGCCTCCTAGGGCCTTTAGCAGGCGCAGAGAAGGCTCGGCATGTCTTAAGAGTGGATCCTTTCAGCTCGACCACAATCTCATCTTTGCAGTGGCCTCTTACAGTGTTTTCCAAACCCTCAGCGTGCATGGGCACTTGCCTCTTTGGAAGGGAGATACTATGCACGAGATCCTAGTATGAGCTGTGATGAGACCTCTATCTTTGTCTCCCTGCCAAAAACTACCCCTCACTTCAGAGTAGCCATGATCTTGCATAGAGGCCAAAACAAAATGACGGCCTTAATTAAGTACTAGAAACATCTGCTGCATCCAAGGGTCCCTAAATGAGTGCTACAAGAAGTTGAATTTCTTTGGTCCAACTCCAGCACAAATTAGAGTAGCTCTACAGCTGTCACTCCCTTGACTATCACCAACACTGTGGGCTGGGACTGAAGGGTGCCAGCTGCTGATAGTCCCAAATTCCCACCTCCTCCTTCTCCTTGCTGCACTTGGTGATAGGAGCTATGGGTTCAAGCAGCAGGAGATGGTGGGGATTGGAAGCAAGGTGATGGGGAAAGACTTGCGAGCACCAGCATGCCTCGCTGCCAGCTCCATTTCCAGTGCTTTGTGCTCCAACACGTTTGAGACAACAAGGAGGGAAACTGGCTTTATGCCCTCTGGCAAATTAGTGCCCTCAGCCAGGAAAGCCTCACCATGTAGTGTCCTTCTGCCACCTTGATAACCTCATCGCACAGGGAGATGAATGCAGAATCCACCCCAAAGCCTTTCTGGCTTCTCGGTGGGGACCAGGCAGGCCACGGTATCCTGCTAGAGTGCATGTCTGTGCCTACACCTATGCATAGTTACATGTCCCTGGGGTGGCCTTGTGGGTCACCCCACATTTGTGGTCCCCTCAGGGTAGGCATGTGCAGCAGCCTTTGAGGGCCTCAAATTTCTGCAAAGCGAGGGAGAATTTGAACAGACCCCACTGCCTGCAAGGAGAGGAGAGTTTCGGCTAACCTATAAATAACCATCATTTCTATAAACATCTGCCAGGGTTGGGAAAAACTGGAGGCTGTGCCAGAGACCAACCCGTAATCAAAGCATTCTGGCAAATATTGAGATGGCAGTGGCTGTGTGGGCCGTCTTCATGTACAGTATACAAATATTTACTGTAGATTTGCCTGCTGCAGTAACTACTCATTCCTAGCAACTTTCTGCACCAGCTCTTGTACATTTTTATCCTCTCATAGTCTGGCTGAGCAAGTTGTTGACTTTTTTTTTTTTTGCCTGTCACCTAATACCATCATTTGCTGTGTCGCCTGTGCACACTTTGCACCCAGAGGACCCGTCAGAGTGCTTTGCAGTCAGATGTGTCAGTTGTCTGTAGGTGATGGTCTTCGTCCCCAGAGAGGGAGGGTGAAAGAGAACATCTCAGCCCTCGGCAGAGAGGATAAGGACCCGGAGAACATCAGCTCTCAAGTAATGCAGTCTGAAGAACCCTCTGCAGAAGAGATTTCACGTTTGAGTGACAGAAGGACATGGCAGAGGAGGAAAAAAATGCAGGCAGTCCTTGTCCGACACTGGTTGTTTGCCTGCAGAAAGAGCTTTGGCTTGACTATTTTCTAGTGAGGTAAGAGAGAAACATACAGCAAGGAGCAAGCCAGGTGGCGTGAGCAGTTCTGAGTAGCCACAGTAAAGACCTTGACCTTGACTCTAATGGCAGAATATCCTGACAGAGTAGGAAATGGCTGTGCAAGCCAAAGGAAGAGACTCCTCACCGCCTGGCTGATCTGCTTTGTCTTTTCTGCATGAGATATTGCTAACCTTAAATTACCTCTTTCTGCCTGCCAGATGGAGTCTTACACATCCGATCCCTTGGTCTACCATGGTGGCATGAAGGTCTCCTTCGTCATCCAGCTGATGAACGCCATTGCCAGAATTGAGCGAGCTCTGCCCAAGCTGACTTTGCCCATCCTGGTGCTACATGGCTCTTCCGACAAGCTCTGTGATATCAAAGGGTCCTATTTACTGATGGACACAGTGCAGAGTCAGGACAAAACACTCAAGGTCATCTTGCTTTCTTGAGTTTTAGGGTTATTATCCTGTCAGTGTGTTAGCCTGAGCATGAGTGACTGTGAGGGGTAGGGACCCTGCTGAGCTCCAGAGAGCTGGAGGCAAAGCAGGGCTGATACATTGGTGAGATCAAGCAGGTTACAGCCCCTTTCACCAGGAGTTAGCCCAAGTGTCGCCCTTCCTGGGCATGGTGTGGGCTTTTCACCAGCTACAGCCAGACTGCGGGCAGAGGGTGGTGGGTGATGTCAAGACCTGACCCAGTGGTGGCTGTGTACCTAGAGGGTCTCTTGGACATGAAGCAGCTTGGTATAGAAGTAGAGCGAGGCTCATAAGCAGGTAAAGTGCTGACCCCTAAAGCTCTTCTGAACATTGCCAACTGTGTGAGCACCAACTTTACCTCATGCCCCAGCTCATAAAGGTACAGGGGGGGCTTTCCGAAGTGCTGCACAACAAAAGCTATTTCACATCTGCTCATTTCAAGAGAGCCACAGCTGATTAACCAATTGTTAGCACATGAATGAGCCTGAATGAGAGACAGGGAGACCAAGGGAAAGCTTTTGTCATTGGAAAAATAACTGGATAGTCTGGGCATAAAAGGAGTAAAATTGCACAAGGCATGATGGGAACATCCCCCTTGTCCATTAAACTCCAAGGGCATGGTAAGTATTTCCTCCTCTTAGTGGGATAAGAAGCAAGAAATGGATGGGGCTGGGACATGCATTGTGTTCCTAAAGGGCAGCAGGGTGCTTGGGTAACATGCAGATGTCAAGCTGCAATGCCAATGCCTTCGTGCTTGCACAGGGCCAGCACTGCCAAAGGCATCTCTTTGATTTCATAACCTGCCACATCTAGGGGAAAAAAACCTGACAATGTGTGGGCAGGACATGTTGGACCTGTGGGTGTTGACAAGAGGGGACTGAAGGCTGTTTTGTTCATGTGAATTTTTTTTTCCTGTGCTAATCTCTGCTCTCTCCCTGGTTGCAGGTGTATGAGGAAGCCTATCATGCCCTCCACAAAGAGCTGCCCGAGGTCTCTACCTCTGTCTTCACAGAAATCCTAACGTGGATTGGCCAGAAGGTCTCAGCAGCTGGGGAAACCAGCCATACTTAAGAGCCATTGGTTTTGCAGCTCTTACTGGGGTTTTCTGGGAATAGATAGATGCTTTTCTTAATAGAAGTCTCTCTGAAAAAGATCTAAGGTGGAGGGACTCTTGGGATATCATGCACAGCATAAGGGAGGGTGGGGGGAGAGGCACAGGGTGGGGCATTATTTGCTGGTGTAAATGGCCATCGCCCTAATCTGGAGAAAAATTGATAGCTGTGGGAGCAGCCATCAAAGCTTTCCAGGTCAGGTGACTTCACCGAAATGCCCCTCACCCACCAAACTTCCCCCACCACTTCTCGTTCTCTGCTTTTGCTGGGGTGACAAGGGTGTATTTATACTGCAATAATTTTTGGTATGTTAAAGAAGTCAGTATCTTCCACTTCATTGTTTTGATTCCAGGTGCATACAGTCTCTTCCCTGTCCCCACCATCCAGTACCTTAAAAGCCCCGGTCCTTGAGGGGAGAGGGGTAACAAAGGTGCTGGGTAACGAGGAGAGGCTAAAGATGGAGCTGACAGCTCCCTGAAGGTGAAAGGCTGGTTTTCAAGGTCAAACCCCTTTGGATACTGTCTTTATAAGCAGGCCAGGCCAGGGGAGAGCATAAAGACAGCCTCCCCCACCACCCTGCACATCCTCTGCGAGTTTGCACTAGGGCAAAGCATGTTGAACAGCTCTTTAATTTTCATCATCAGAGCAGGATCCCAGAGGGGAGAGAAGGAATGTGGAATCAAACACACTTAGCACATTCAAAACCCATGCTTTTCCCAATGCCAAACCTCATCTCCTCTGCAAAATGAACTATTCTGTAAATATTCCTGGGGGCTCCTTTTTTTCTTTCCTTTTTTTCTTTTGGAATTAATCACTTGTGCTACTGAAACTGAGAATGCAAAGTCAAAGTTATAAGAGAATATAGTAATATAATTTAAGATGTATATAGAGGTGGCTGTGAGCTGGGTAAGTAATGGGAAGAGAGTCTAAAGAAGGGGTTAATTGTTCCTTCTCTTGGCAAGGGATAATGTCCTACTGGGATCCAGTCTTCTCACCATAACTTTACAGTCATAATCTGTTGTTTTCCTTCATGGAAATGTTGTGAAAATAATGCTAGAGAGAAGTGCAGAGCATCTGGTGGGTGGGGATTAGCAGTGGGTGTCCTCATGGTCCACCGGTTTAGCAGGAGACCCGCAGCATGAACAGAGAGCCCATCCAAGCTCATCCCAATCTCCTCGTAATCAGCACAGCTGCCTCTGGGGCAGATCACTGAGCAGAGGGGCCAAGCTCACCCCTTTAGGCAATATGGGGAGCTGAAGGCAGAGTATAGGGTGCAGTCATCCATCCAACATCTACTTGCTGCACTGCGGGCATCCAGGGGCACTGGCGTACAAGCTGCTCTGGAGGAGCTTGTGGCCTGGTCCAGTGGTGCAGACAAGACAAATCCTAGAGTTGCCTGGGTCTCTGGTAGCAGCAGGGTGGAAGGAAAGACTTTAGACCCAGTTACAGAGCAGAGGCATTGTCTTGATACAGCAAAAGCTGCACAGTGATCGCAGCGTGGCTGTGAGGGTCAGTTTGTCCAGGGTGGTGGCCTGAATTATGAATACACTTCGTGGCAGTAGCCAAAGGGAAGAGGTTTAACTTGCACCTCTCCCTCCGCTTTTGCAAGAAGAAAATGCCTGCAAATGTTGCACTATGAGAGCCTGGGGCATCTGTGCCCCAGCAGTGGGAGCCATCGCTGTGTCTTGAGCCGCCATCCCTGGGGCTGGATCCCACCTGCGACAGTCACGAGGGGTCACCGACCTCTCCTCCCTTTGAAACCAGTTTTGGCAAGATTCAGGAAAGGGACCTTTGTGCAATAACAGTCAGAATCAGGGCTTGGTCCCATTCGGTCCCAGCAGTGTGGATGGATGAAGGATGTGTGGATGCAGGTTATGTCCTTGTAATTGCCTGAAGGGGCCCAAATGAGGAAAGCTCTTTTATACAGGTTGATCCAGGCACTTTCACACTTGTATTTTGTTGCCTGTAAAGAGAGGAATGACCTGTAGTCCTCCCAGCAATGCCAGCTTTGGATTCAGATATTATTCCAGTGCAATCAGCTGTTCTCACCAACCCCTGCTAAACCTCTGGTGACACTTGCTAGGGGAAGGAGGCAATGCACAGGTCGCCTGCTCTGCATCTTCCAGCAGCCTGGCTTGTTGCAACATCTTT